TGGATATTAAAAACAAACTCAAGGTAAAATTTAACTCAAGTGACAGAATTAGTAACTTGGGAGATAGTATTAAGGAATATACCCAAAGACAGCAGAAAAACAGATAAAAAGAGTAAAAGAATGATTAAGAGTCACAGAATGTGGGCTGGAGCAGCTTCCATAGCATTTATTTGGAGTTCCAGAAGGGGAGAATAGAGGAAAAAAAAGTGGGGGAGTTATTATTTGACACTTAACAGATGAAAATTTTCAAGAATTGAAGAAAGGCATGAATTCACACCATAGACTGCAGAAGATCAAAGAAAAGAAGAAAAAAGAATAGAGACAGACCATCTGAAAGGGAGTTAGAACAATAGCAGACTCCTTGTCAGCAATAAAGGTGCCCAAAGACAACAAATCAGCGTCCAGAATACGTGATACCAAGCAAGGAATCTGTGCCCGGCGAGGCCTGATTCAAGAGTGACCGCCAAGCGAAGACCCTCCAGACGTTCAGAAACAGGCGAACAGCTGTCAGAGGCCCCAGAAGGGGAGGCTTACGAGGTGCACTTCAGCAGGAAGAAAATGAGCTCAGAGCAGCGCTGGGATACGTAGGAATAGTAAACAGAAACTACAAAAATGCATCCATTTATTTCATTAACCACTGACAATGCTAAGCTACCTTTTATTTATAAAAAAAGGAAAAGGAAAAGCGCATGAACCGTATAGAGGTGTGATTGGGGGTGAAAGTACGCTAAGGGCCTTGTGATGGAAATGGTGGGGTAAGAGGCGAGGGGAGTGAAGATTTCCAACAGGCGGCTGTTCCTATGAGTCAAGATTGCTTCGCAGGAATACTGTCATAATAAGTAAGCTTATATTCTAGACCAAGGATTCAAAATCAGATAAATCATAGATGAGGCCCATGATACCATGAAGCAAAGATAAAATTACTTGATCTGGCCTTGAAAATCATTTACAGGGTAAAATTCTAACAGTGGTTAATTAAAATAGGCACCTAGGTAAGGGATATCTATTTTTTTTTAAGTACACATAGAAAGTGCAGTTTTACAAAAAATTAATACCACCTTACAGTCCTGCATTAGTTTAGTCAGTAAAAATGTAACCCGTAATTATGTTTAACTTTTTATATTTAAGAGGCTTATAATGGATTACTTGAATAGTCCAGGTTTCTCAGAAGATTTTCCCTTCAAGTAAACCTGTAGTTAGCAGAGGCATTCGTATTTATTCCTGAGATCTTTCAAAATTAGGTCACAATTCTCATTTCATACTATAGATACACTCTCATGTCTTGATAAGTCTCTACATGAATGATAAAATACTCCAGAAACTGTTAACAGCTGTCTTGAATATCCCCAAGAAGTATATAATGAACATTTCTAAGTGGAAATGGGACTGCTCATTTCTTATTTCTGAGTATCATAAAAATAATTTAGAGGCAAAAATATGCAATAAGGTGTAAATAATAAGTGAATATATTTCAGATATTCACTTAGATATATGTTGGCCTTGTTACTAATGGAATCATCCTTAAAAGCCTAGTAATCCAAATGTAAATATCTCCCCAGGAGTAATGATCTCTCTCTTCTTTGAACTCTAAAACACTTTGTCTGTACTTGTCTGAAGACAAGTACGTATTTTTGTCTTAGTTTATAGCTACTTGTTCTGACTTTTATCTCCTCCTATGGACACTGTTTTCTCAAGGTCTCTACTCTCCGCAGCGTAAACCAGCTCAGTCTGTACACACAGCTCACAGTTGTTGCACAGAGGCCATTTCATGTATCTGAGTTGTGTTTCTTATTTTTTTTACTATAACAGCAAAGCATTTTATAGTATGTCACTATATGTTAATCTTGGAGAGAGATGAAAATTTTACACATTTTCTGGTAATGTAAGTAAAGTTTCTATTTGAATAATTGGGCCATTAAGATAAGAGAGATTTTTGTCTGGTTGATTGTGTTGATGTTTTGAAGGAACTTAAAATGATGTTTAACATAAGAGAGTCTTATTTAAGTCCTGACAGTCACTTCAGTCTTATGAGAGTCAGAATTGATGGCATATGTGAGGTAACTAAGGTGGGAGAGGTTAAGTGAATCACTCTGATCACACACAACAGTTGGGATTTTTGATAGTTGATTTATGCACCTTTTTTGTGTTTTTACTGACACTGAAATGGAAAGTATATCATCCTCTCCAACATAGATGACAATATGCTGTGGTAATTTTTCATATATAAAGCATGTATTTTCTTTAAAATAAAAAACAGTAAACAATTTCTCCTCTTCTGTGTTCTCAGAGAGGTCTCTGATCATACTGTTACATAATTCCTTCTACTGTGAAATTATAGTGAGTCCCACCTCAGTACTGGCATTTTGGATGGATGTCCAAAAATGTTTATTGAATGACTGAGTGCCTGAAGGTAGTTTGCCTTTGGAATTTGACTCCTTAAACTTGTTTGTATTATCACATTTTCTGAAACACACAAATTCTGACTCTCTTTGTTGTTTGTTAGTTGTTTATTTCAGGTTCCTATAAAGGGTAATCAGTGACTGTCCAGAAAACCAGTAACTCAGTACTTTGTGGCCTCAGTCTTGGAAATGTACTGGTTTCTGTGAGAGAGAAAGAGAAATTTGTCAGTCAATATCAGAACCTAGAGCCAGAGACTGTTGTCTGATTCCAAGTTTTCCTCATTTTGTACAAATACATATTTCTGGTCTACTATTTCAGACTTTATTATTCAGTTCTTTGAGTTTGAATATTTTATAAAGTAGAAAATATTTTTATAAAAGTGTTCTAATTTGAATTTTATGTATCATGTTTACATAAAGCAGTGTGCCACTTTCATTTATTTAAAAAGTTAATATTCACGAGAATTAAGCTAATCATTCTATTTTGGAATTGCAGTAACTGTTAGGAAACCATTATTTCAGTAAGTTGTGTATTTTTTTATTAGACCCTTTTGTTAGCATTTTTAACCGTTTTATTGAGATACCATTCACATAACACATAATTCTCCCATTAAAAGTGTACAATTCAGTTTTTTAGTGTAGTCACAAATCGTGCAGCCATCACCATAATCAATTTTGGAACTTTTTCATCCCCCCAAAAAGAAATTCCATACCCTTTAGTCATTATTCCTTAATCCCCCATTTCCCTCCCCTAGCAGTTTGTTAACATTTGTACTTTCGATTGGAATACTTATTTCCTACCCTTAGTATAAAAATCAGATGCTCACATTTTGTGTGTGTTTGTGTATGTTTTTCAGCTGTTTCTCTGTACAGTCCAGGTTACTGCGTCTCCTAGAAAGAGCACTGTATCCTCTGTTTCTTCTGACCCCTCCTCCATATTTTACTCCTTTGTCTTTTCCATAGAATTAATATTAGCAGTGTTGGGTAATTAATGACAGATCTTACTACTGATGCCAGAGTTCTTGTTCACAGAGTTGAAGAATAAACTTCACAAACACTCAAAGTAGGAAAGCAAGGGAGAGGCTTTTATTTAGAGATAAAACGATAGGACAAAGCTCCTGGTGCACGCCAGGAGGGGACAAGAGGGTCTGTGGTTGGGTGTTGTCTAGGGGTTTATATCTTTAGGTTTAACTGAGGTGTTTAGTTATTATTGGTCCCAGCCTGAGTGCCGCCTTTTTGTTTTAACCAATCCCACTGAAAATTGCTTATATTCCTAATTTGGTGTTTCTGTCCAAAAGAATTTGTATGACTCTGACTTTGCTTAGTGTTTAACACAGAGTTTCGGTAGAGTTTCTCTGCTCATTGTTACGTTGCTCCAACCATAATTATCCTGTTTAGCTTCTTCGGGAAGCCCACGCCCTACTCTGTCTAAACCCATGGTCCCTGTCTCACTATAATTTATACATTTAAATGAGCTCCAAATTTAGTAATTTCCTATTATCATTTTACTCTTTTATTTCCAAGTATAAAGCTTAAAAATTAGTATGTAGTTTGAAGAGCAACCATGGCTTTTTCTACAGAATTAAAGTCAGCAATCTTCTAACTGACTCACTACCAATGAATCAGTGGTTGTCTCTCTCCACCAATTCAGTTGGAAGAAGTCATTCTGTGAATTGGTCTCTCACAGTTTGGATCATGTTATTCAATTCATACTTTTTGACCTAACTTGTCCTGTTTCGTAAATTTGGGCAATTAGAAGAAAATTAAAGTTGGTCACAAAGCATTTTGGACTTTTTAGAATAGAAAATCCCATGGGAATGATGTTATGTTATACACCTAATACTCTTTATTTTGACAAAAAGAAATGTTATGTAAATCACCTGTCAGAAACACATGAAATTGTTTTATCTGGGTCATTACTAAATTCTTGCTGGCACACTTTCTGAATTAAAATCTCTGTAGACAAGCAGTAAAATGCATAATGTATTTATGAATGACACATTAACAACTGTGTAGTCAAGATCAGTGATAAACAAGTTGGTAGCCTAGTGTCTGGAGACACATTAGACTGCTGAGTCCATTTGATAGAGGACTTTTTTCCTAGTATCTTTCTATCAAGTACCATGGAAACAAATTTAATAAATTTCAAATCTAATTCAAATGAAGATTTAGATAAATCTGTTATTAGTCTATGCAGCTTCTCTGAGATCTTTGTATATGCTTTGTATACCATTTATATACCCTTGGTATACATTTTGCATAGATTGTATCATTTATGTATTGTTATGATACCTAATTATAACATCAGAGATACAAATGGATTATTTTAGAGGTCCTTTCTGATTAAAGCATTTACCAATAAGAATTGAGTAGTACTTCATGATCTTATTTTCACTGAGTCTATAATCTTTACATATTTGTGAATAGAAACTAATTATACCAGACTAGAATGCTAGCCTGTAAACCCCATAAAGGTATAGTTCCAGTTGTTTCTATAAAGTTATATCATTCTCTTTAAAAAAAAAAAAGTTAAAAAAAATCACTTGATAAGAAAAAAAAAGTGACCTAACTGCTTATCTACTACAGTCCGCTGACCGTTAGGCAGTGACACAGGCCATCTGATATATGATAACTATTCCTTGGCAGAGAAGAGAAAAGGTGACTTGTCAGAAATAGGTTCACTTAATGAGATGCACTCGTACCCCTGGGTAGCTAACAGCTTGCAGAGCTTACATATGCACTGCGCCGGAGCTTGTGGACGTCGGCTGGGAGTTGGAAAACATGAGCACAAGAGCAAACAAAAGCCATTCGTAGAGTTTAGCCTCCTCTTGAACCGTTCCACATTCACACTGTTCCACACTCCGTGTTTTGCTGCAGAATATCGTAGCCTGTGGAACAGCCCCTGCTGCTGTGCTCAGAGAAGAATGACGAAACCAGTATCCACAAACCTTTCGAGAACAATGACACCTGTGGTGAGGCCTCAGGAATCTTTAATGTTCAAATTAAGGGAAAAGAAGAGCAGGCTTCTTCGTTTGGGGCGTCTGGCAACCAATATGTGACATCCACTGGGAGAGAAATTGCCTTGCCTAGAAAAAGCGCCGTATCTTCTGTTTCTTCCTCTCCCTCCTCCTTCATATTTTACTCCTTTGTCTGTTCCATGGGGTCAACGTTACTGAGCAGTGATGGCTAACTGATGACAAATTCAGTGAGATCATTTATGTATTGTTATCCTAGATTTGTTCTTCAAAGCACCCATTACAGTTCCTTATATATTCTAGGTACTCAATAGATTGCTGAATTGATAAAACAAACTTGTTAATATATGAATCCAAGCCAATAGTTTTAGAATATATCATAAATATCTAGTAAAATTACAGAGCACATAACATTTGCTCAAACTGCCTAAAATAGCCAACTTAATATATCCTATGGCATATCTTTGCCTCATCTAATGTGTTTAACTCTCATGAGAGAATTAGATCATTTTCGAATTCCTTCTTAATCTAAAATTCTTAGGTTATGCAATTCTTTTCTTTCTCTTACCCCATTTATTCTTAGCTACTTGAATAATGACTCTTTTTTAAAGCATCAGTAGTCTTTCTCTCAACAACAATATAGAGCCATCTCTAATCTAGAAGTTTATAGTTTATTATATCTATAGTACAATCATCCTGTCTAGAGAAACTTATCCACACCATACTTACACTCACCTTACAGACATTTTAGTTCAGTGAAACAGTGTGTCCTGTGCAGGGGCAATGCAATGCGATGGTTAAAGCTCAGATTATCTAGAGTCAGAAATACCTGGATTTGATTCCTCCATCAGGCCACATAACATCGTTACCAGTTACATAATCTTAAATTATTTATCTTCTCTGGGCTTAGTTTCCCCATGTAAATGGGAATAGTAATTGCAGCAACCTCATGCTGTTATTTTGCTATGTGAGACAGACAGTGCTTGTATATGTTAGGTGCACACTCAACAACTGTTGATTTATCATGCCAGCCACATGGGAAATAAGAGTAATTAAGACAGATAGAGACCCTGCCCTTCTAGACAATTAAATAAGTAATTAAGAAGCAAGGAGTGTGAAAATGGTTGAGGAAATAGAGTTGTTCATGAATATAGTAGGAATAGTGAATACAACGTGGAGGTCAGAGAAGCCCCTTTGAGGAATAGCATTGAAGCTGAGACTGGTAGGGTAAGAAGGAAGACTCTTATCTAAGAAACTGCTATTTAAGAGAGAGATCATACTTCAATGCGGTTTTGAGATGTCACAAAGCTCTAAAGATATGTTCCATTTACAACATTAAGGTTCTGTTGTTTGGGGTATTACTTAGCATTGAATGAACTGGTGGTGAAATGTGAAGTCTAGGGAAAGCAAGTCTGCCCCCTCAGGGGGCAGCAACTAATATTTATTTGACAACAGTATGCCAGGTACTTAGCTAGAAAAGGGGTGGGGGTGATGTACAGAGGACGACGATGCTGATCACTAACATTTATGTACATCAATTTATTTAGTCCTTTCAACAGCCACTTGAGGTGGGAATTATGTGCCGTAATTTATTAATATCTCTGAGCATCAAAAGGATAAGTAACCTGACTGGTGTTACATGCCTAATAAGTGGAAGTACCGGGATTCAAACCAAGGCAGAACTATTCCATAAGCATGCTAATAGTTTCTAAACAATAAATAAGACATTTTGTGCCCGCAAGGAACTCACAGTCTATAAAGGACAATAATTGTTCTGGGCTACAGCTGCTAGGAAAATAATTATTTACAGTCCCTTATATCATAAAGTTAGCAACCCTAAATGGTCCTTTACCTGGTCACCCCCGAGCATCACGTTATTTCTGCCTGTCTTTCTCGGATCCCTGCCTCTCCCTCTCCCCCTAAAAAGGCCGCCTGATGTTATGCGCCCTTTAATGCTCACACATGAATGTCTTCAGAGGAACACATGCTCTTTAGGATCTTTACATTTCTTTTCCATGTGATACTTTTCCCCATATTGAGAGGATGTGGCTTTGCGTGCTGACTTAAAACTAAGATTTATTTCAGACTGTAGACTAAAGGCTTTATGTAAATATAAATTGATCATCAAATTTCTCTTCAAATGAACTTGAGTATTCCTTAATACTCAGAAAGAAAGATACTTATATTTGCCTTTTCATAAAGAAATAGATTCTGTAATGCTCTGGTGTTCTCCAGATTTAATGACCCCTCTGAGTTTTATTTGCCGTGAATAAGCAGATTTTGAAACATCTTAGTTCACTTTTAGTGCAGGTTTTATCTTTTCTCACTAGCTAAAAGCAGCAGCACAGAGCAACTCTAATGTTAGAATTCAGTAGGGCAGCGTTAACTCTTCAGTAAACATGTGATCATGTTTGCTTTAGCAAAATCCAGAATAAAGACCAGTGTTTTGGAAAAACCTTTCATGCCGTTCTCCACATAAGAAGGTACTATTTGCAACATTTTAATGGAGAAGGAAGCTCGGCATTGTTGAGCAGTTTTCATCCATAGCCAAAGTATAAGTTAATATATCTTTAAGTCCAAAATTTGAAGGGCTGCTCATTTTTGCCTTCTTCCTTGCCATATTTTATATTAAATAGTCTATAAGCCTAAAGACTTTGAACCAGTGTCTGTGCTGGAATCAAAACCTACAAAGCTTTCACTGACATTTGAAAAGAAAAGGGTGTTTTCAAAGACTACCCTAGCAGAGAAAGTATTAGAGGCCGGTTGGGACTGGAGCTGCATCTTGATCCACCCGGAGTCTCTTTTAACCCTGGGTCCACATTCCCTCCTTCTTCACCCAGCAGTGCTTTCCTGCTGCTGTGTGCACATTTCTTCCCATTTCCTGACAGTCTCAAGAAATGTACCACCAGTTAAAAGAACTTCTCATATTTCAGTCCCTTAGAATCTTATTAGCTCTCATTTCCTTTTTAATTTATTTGTGATGGTCAAGCTTGGCATTCCTTTACATTCTCTGAGTCTGGATTATTTCAAGGATCTTTTTTTAGGTTGCTAGTGAATGCTCAGGATAAGATACAAAAGAGCTCAGGATACCCCCCTAACGCTAAAAGTAACTTCACCTTGTCCTCCAAATAGTATTGAGCTAAATGCAGGATGGTCTCTAGATTTTGTCCTGCAACTGAAAACTGGCATCAGTGGACAGACTAGCAGATCATGTCTGTAGTTTAGTTAATAGGATAGTTTTAATGTAATTTCTTAGTTTTGATAAATGTCTCATTGTTATATAACATGTTAACATGAGAGAAAGCTGGATTAAGGTATACAGCAGGTCTCTACTCTCTTTGAAACTCTTCAATAAATCTAAAATTATTTCAAAATAAATTTTCCTTAAAATTTTTAAATAGTATCAAGTACAAGACTTTACAGAATTGGGGTATTTAGTGTTCACTGTGCTAGAAGTCAGGCACATTCCTGTAGCCACATGCTAGATTTTCCCACACCATCCTCTGTGTAGACCCATCATGTACTTGGAAGTTATACAGACACAGACTCCGTCCCCAGCTCTGCACTTTCTAGCTATAAAAACTAAAATTGGTTTTTTTATACAGGGTTGTTGTGAGAACTTATATAAGGTAAAAGTCCAGGGACTGCCCTATGGTAAGCTCTTGTAATGCCACTTAAGCCTCCAGGGTGACATTTTAAGAAGAGGACACTTTGGGTTCCTGTTCCCGCAAGTTTGTTTTCACTCCTTAAAATTGCCCTCCTATCTCTCCTGAAGGACATAAAAGGGTCTGGGTCACTACTTTCCTTGAGAGTAGGGAAAAAAAAAAAGCAAGTGCTGTGTCAGTCCCACTGACCCCCAACACAAGGGTGCAGTATGCAAAACTCACCAGCAGGGGCAAGGGTCAGAGGGAGCGCCCCCCAGAGGAGAAAGGGCGGATGAGCCACACTTTCCAAGCCTTCTCTCGGCCCGGTTGGTCGATCTGGCAGGAGCCGGTTCCCAAACACTCCTTGCTGACAGCTCAGCCGCACGGAAGTGCTTCCTTGTGCGCCCACCCCGCCTATCCTGCTCTGCCCAGCAGTGGTCTGATTTTGCTGACTGGCATGCAGAGAGTGGATGACACTTTCCTAGCTTTCCCAACCTCCCCCAGCCCAATGGGCCAGACACTTTTGGGAGCTAACTCTAAACTCTAAACCCCATTGACTCAACCCCAGCACCCCACAATGTACTCACCCGGCACACACTGCCCAGCAGCAGCCTGCTATTGCTGAGTGGTAGGCAGAGGACAACCCCACTCACAATGAATTCCGACAGAAGTGCCTCACTGTAAACAGTGGGCATATAGAGGCTACCTGTGGGGGTCAGCCGTTGCCAGCAGACAAGCAAAAAGACAGGTCCTGTCCACAGCCCACCAATAGCAAACTGTGGCTCAGCTGCAAAAGAGAACAAGGCACTGGTAAGCAAAGAGTCTTAAGCTTCTGGGCACCATAGTATGGCCATAAAGCCGTTATTTTCAAGACTTTAGCTTGAGTTATAGTTGATCTAATACAAAGGAAGAAACACAGAAACCCAGACAAAATGAGAAAGCAGAGGAATACATTCCAAACAAAAGAACAGGATAAAACACTATAAAAAGGGCTAAATGAAATGGAGATTTCCAATCTTCCTGATAAAAAATTCAAAGTACCAGTCATAAAGATGCTTACTAAACTGGAGAAGAGAATCAATGCTTAGAGCAGCAAGAACTTCAATAAAGAGATATAAAGTATGAAAAAACCGCCAAGAGCTGAAGAATGCAATAACTGAAATGAAAAATTCACTACAGGGAGTGACTAACAGACTGAACGGACTGGGGGAAGTAGAGGGAACGGTCAGTGTGATGGAAGACAGAAAATAGGAAAGTGACCAAGCTGGGGAACAGCGGGAAGGAATTTCTAAAAATGAGAAGATGTAACAGAGCTGGGTGACAACTCCAAATGAAAGACTATTCATTTAATAG